GGGGGATCGTTTTTCGCATACAGTCACACACTTCGTGCTCTTCGATTTCCCAGAACTCCATTCCCGGGCCACATTCTGAATGCCCGGAGCCAACTGTAGGCCACTTCGTGCTCTTCGACTTCCCAGAACTCCATTCCCGGGCCACATTTTGGATGCCCGGAGCCAACTGTAGGCCACTTCGTGCTCTTCGAGTTCCCAGAACTCCATTCCTGGGCATGATTTTGAATGCCCGGAGCCAACTGTAGGCCACTTCGTGTTCTTCGAGTTCCCAGAATTCCATTCCCGGGCCACATTTTGAATGCTGAGGCAGAGGCTGAGGCTGAGGCAGGCTGAGGCAGGCTGAGGCTGAGGCCGAGGCTGAAGGCAGACTGAGGCTGAGGCTGAAGCAGGCTGAGGCTGAGGCAGAGGCAGGCTGAGGCTGAGGCAGGCTCTGAGGCTGAGGCTGAGGCTGATGCAGGCTGAGGCTGAGGCAGGCTGAGGCTGAGGCTGAGGCCAAGGCTCAAGGCAGACTGAGGCCTGCAGGCTGAGGCTGAGGCTGAGGCTGAGGCTGAGGCTGAGGCTGAGGCTGAGGCAGGCTGAGGCTGAGGCTGAGGCAGGCTGATGCTGAGGCAGGCTGAGGCTGAGGCTGAGGCTGATGCAGGCTGAGGCTGAGGCAGGCTGAGGCTGAGGCCGAGGCTGAAGGCAGACTGAGGCTGAGGCTGAGGCTGAGCAGGCTGAGGCTGAGGCTGAGGCAGGCTGAGGCTGAGGCAGGCTGAGGCTGAGGCCGAGGCTGAAGGCAGACTGAGGCTGAGGCTGAAGCAGGCTGAGGCTCTGAGGCTGAGGCAGGCTGAGGCTGAGGCTGAGGCAGGCTGATGCTGAGGCAGGCTGAGGCTGAGGCTGAGGCTGATGCAGGCTGAGGCTGAGGCAGGCTGAGGCTGAGGCCGAGGCTGAAGGCAGACTGAGGCTGAGGCTGAAGCAGGCTGAGGCTGAGGCAGAGGCAGGCTGAGGCTGAGGCTGAAGGCAGACTGAGGCTGAGGCTGAAGCAGGCTGAGGCTGCAGGCTGAGGCTGAGGCTGAGGCAGGCTGAGGCTGAGGCAGGCTGAGGCTGAGGCTGAGGATGCAGGCTGAGGCTGAGGCAGGCGGAGGCTGAGGCCGAGGCTGAAGGCAGACTGAGGCTGAGGCTGAAGCAGGCTGAGGCTGAGGCTGAGGCAGGCTGAGGCTGAGGCTGAGGCAGGCTGATGCTGCAGGCTGAGGCTGAGGCTGAGGCTGATGCAGGCTGAGGCTGAGGCAGGCTGAGGCTGAGGCCGAGGCTGAAGGCAGACTGAGGCTGAGGCTGAAGCAGGCTGAGGCTGAGGCTGAGGCAGGCTGAGGCTGAGGCTGAGGCAGGCTGATGCTGAGGCAGGCTGAGGCTGAGGCTGAGGCTGATGCAGGCTGAGGCTGAGGCAGGCTGAGGCTGAGGCCGAGGCTGAAGGCAGACTGAGGCTGAGGCTGAAGCAGGCTGAGGCTGAGGCTGAGGCAGGCTGAGGCTGAGGCTGAGGCAGGCTGATGCTGAGGCAGGCTGAGGCTGAGGCTGAGGCTGATGCAGGCTGAGGCTGAGGCAGGCTGAGGCTGAGGCCGAGGCTGAAGGCAGACTGAGGCTGAGGCTGAAGCAGGCTGAGGCTGAGGCTGAGGCAGGCTGAGGCTGAGGCTGAGGCAGGCTGATGCTGAGGCAGGCTGAGGCTGAGGCTGAGGCTGATGCAGGCTGAGGCTGAGGCAGGCTGAGGCTGAGGCCGAGGCTGAAGGCAGACTGAGGCTGAGGCTGAAGCAGGCTGAGGCTGAGGCTGAGGCAGGCTGAGGCTGAGGCAGGCTGAGGCTGAGGCTGAGGCAGGCTGAGGCTGAGGCTGTGACTGCGACTGCCGTTGCCACTGCGACTGTCATCGCGAATGCGACTACGACTGCGAGAACAGCAGAATTCTACAACTGGATTCTCATCCGAATCTTAAGGGGAATGCTTCCAAATATGCTCCTACACATCGATGTTAGGTTGCTTTGCCGGGATATTTTTTTAGAATGAAGGGGCCCTGGGACACACATATAAATAGACACAAATAACAGGATTCCCCATATTTTCAATTTTGTTTCTGGGTTCCTATCTTCCCCCCCACTTCCCACATGTTCCCATATTTTTCTGGGGAATCGACGATTCATTGTGTCTGTGTGTGTGCTTCCCCTCCTGAGTTATTATGTTTTTTGGGGAAGGGGGCCGCTGGGCCTGTCGAGGCCCTCTCGGTGGCCTCTCTGGGGCCTCTCGGTGGCCTGTCCCTCTACAGGGGGAATATCCAAAAATAGTTTAAAAAATAGTCGGGGGTCTATTTTGGGCGTATTTGTTTGACAAGTTTGGAATATGGTTTGAATAGTTTTTCCGTCGAAGCCCCAATCCCCCTGTAGGGGGAGACGCCCGACTTAATAATATGTGTTTTCCCTACCTAGGCTCTGCCTAGAAGGGTTCTTACTCGGTTTGCTTAGAGGGCCAGGCAGTGGAATGCGCCCTGGGCGGTTCCCCCAGTTGCGCTCCCTGGGTGCTCAGCAAAAGCAAAAGCAAAGGCAACAGTGAGGCAAAAGCGAAGGCGAAGCACAAGTATAGCATAGCATAGCATAGCATAGCATAGCATAGCATAGCGCAGCATAGCATAGCGCAGCATAGCATAGCATATCATAGCATAGCCCAGCCTAGTCTAGCCTAGCCCAACATAGCATTGCGCAGTATAGCATAGCATACCATAGCATAGCAGAGCAGAGCATAGCATAGTATAGCATAGTATAGCGCAGCACAGCACCCACTATTGCTGCTGCTATATATATATATATATATGTACTTGATGTTGCTTTCCTAGAGGCTCCAACTCCTAGGTCGGGTCGCACTGGGATAATTTAGAAGGGGGCCGCTGGGCCTCTCGAGGCCCTCTCGGTGGCCTCTCTCGGGGCCTCTGGAGGGCCTCGTCGGGCCGCGCTAGAGCGGGCCGCACCGGGCGCGAGCGCGCGAGAGCGGGCGGAACAGCGGAGGGCGGCCGCGGATCGCGGAGAAAGAGGAGGAGGAGGAGGAGGAGGAGGAGGAGGGGGAGGAGGAAGCGGGAGAGGAGGAGAAAGAGGAGGAGGAGGCAGAGGCGGAGGAGCGAAGAGGAGGAGGAGGAGGAGGAGGAGGAGGAGGAGGAGGAGGCAGAGGCGGAGGAGCGAGGAATAGGAGGAGGCGGAGGAGGAGGAGGAGAGGAGGAGGAGGAGGCAGAGGCGGAGGAGCAAGGAGGAAGAGGAGGAGGAGGAGGAGGAGGAGGAGGAGGAGGACCGAGGAGGAGGAGGAGGAGGAGGCGGAGGAGCGGGGAGGAGGAGGAGGAGGAGGCAGAGGCGGAGGAGGAGGCGGAGGAGGAGGAGGCGGAGGAGCGAGGAGGAGGCAGAGGCGGAGGAGCGAGGATGAGGAGCGAGGAGGAGGCCCGACCGGCGGGAGTCGGCGGGGAGGGCGCGCGCGGGCGGCCACGGGCACCGCAGGCCAGTGCGGCGCAGAAGTGGGGGCAACGTAGGACAGGACGGCCTTCCCGTCGAAGCAGCGCCAGGTCGGGCCCGTCCCCCTGCAGGGGGTCTGGGGCAAAAAAAAAAACATGGTCAAAAGATACCCCTGAAATCGTTAAAACAAATACTCAAAAAATCGTCCCCTGACTATTGTTTGACCATTTTTGAATATTCCTCCTGTAGAGGGACGTGCCCGACTTGAAAGTAGCGGACGGGCGGGCGGACCGCGGGGCAAGCCGCGGCCGTGACGCCAGGGGCAGATGCCAGCTGACGAGGCCACAGGGTGTAGAACCAAGGGCCTGTGACTGGGGACACAGCTCAGCTGGAGCCACCAGTTCAGCTGCCAGGCTGGACGAGTCCAGGCGGGGGCAGCGATGCATGCCAGGCGCACGCGTCAATCCAACACGCCCCTGCGGGTCACGGGTCCTGGGGATGGGGTCGAGAGCTCTGGGCAGCCGCGCTGTACGAGCATGGCGCCACGGGTCTAGAGAGGATGGCCCGAGCAAGTGGGGCGCCTGCCCTGCACACCAATGCGATGCCGCTGCTCTTGGGAACGGCGGGCGGCCAGGCAAGCCTCACCTCCCCTCTGGATCTGGCCCGACTGCGAGCGAAGACCCCTGGGGCGCGAGGGTGAGAAGGCGAAAGTGACGGAAGGCGAGGACGCCGTCGACCAGGAACCAGACATCTAACGTCATGAGTTGTTCATCGCGTGACTCCCCAAAGGTCTGAACCCCTTCCCAGGCACTGGATTTTCACCCTGAATCGTTTTGTGACGGCCCCGAGGCCCAGGCAGAAAATGGCCAGAAACCGTAATCATTGCCCCACGACGCGAGGATGTCAGGGGACGAGGCCAACGAGGGAGGAGCGAAGCCGACTGTGATGGCGATTGGTGGCAGAGCTCCATCGGGCTCCACGAAGCTGGTCGACGGAAGGCTGGCGAAATTAAACGATGACCCCAAAGAGATGGCAACTTTGCTTGGTTCAGGGCTTCTGGAGCCGGTCAGAATAGGGTAAATAGAAGACCGTGGATTGGCACAACACGAGGCACAACAGCAGTCCATCAGGAAGTATGTCAGATTGCGTCAGCGCACCGGGTTCCTGAAACCATGATCTATAGTTGGGATGCCCAGGGGCTGGTGTTCGTTAAACACATGAAAACTAACATACGCTCAGCACCAAGACACTCCTGGTGTTAGTTGGACACACAATTTCACATCGTATGCACCTGTGGCACAACGGGTGCTCCGCACGGACACATTTTGCATGGCCAGGTGAAAACTGAGACGACGAATCCCAGAAGCCGAACTGCAATCATAACGTTTTCGTCCGCGATGCTGATGGCAACAGACAAGACAAAAATCAATGGTTAATGTCAGGCAGATGGGACAGCCCACTCAACCCGATCAGCGAGTCGATGAACGCATCGGAATCCTCGACCTGATCGGGAACTCCCCCGTATTAGAACTACTGAATCCCCTGCCACCTGGCTTTGAAGCCGCAGAGGCCTCATCTTCAGCAGCCCAGCAGCGCACGAGTAGTATCGTCACCCGTCTCGTTCTGGCAGCCAGCCTCATCAAACTCGCTGATGTGGACTAATGTGACCCGCTGGCTGAAGTCGCCGTCAACAGCAGGGACGCCGACGCTTCCTGCGCGCAGTTGGCCAGCAGAGACTCGCTCTGAGACAAAAAACGTCTCGCTGTTGATGTCTGCCGCCGAATGCTTGTAGTCGTGTCAAGACGAGTTCACCCTGTCGGTGGTGATACTTGTCACGCCTGGCTAGCTCGAGCAATCTTGAGAAACAATGACAATCATGGTCAGTGTTGTCGCACAGTGGTGGCAATGATGGCTGGGCCAGCGTGCACAGTTTTCCAAAGGCTCCTGAGTGAGAAGGGCACTTGTTCATCGCCGTTCCTTCGCCATCACGATGCTTAAATCGACGAAGGGACTTAACGCTAAATTGTCCCGCGCTGCTGTTCGAACACGTCAAGCAAGCAATAGACCAGGCACACGCAGCATGAACATTGGCTGTCCCTGCAAAGACGGAGAAACTGACAGAGAAGCAGCCGCTAGAAATCGTTCAGAAGGGCGACTCGGGGGAGAGCGATGCAAGGGCAGACACGATCAGAGAAAACAAAGCCTGACTTTGAACATGTGACGTATACTCTCGGCGCTCACCAACCGATTTCCAAACCTGCAATCGTGAGACTCGTGTCCATATCAACCTGTGGTAATACATCACAGGCCGTTTTCGGAAAGATAGAGGCGGCAAAGGGGGCGCGATCGGATGGTGTCCTCACGACGCTCGATCGGAATCATCATAAGGCGAGTGCGGTCAGGCAATGATTTGCGCCCTGAAACCGACATCATCATCAGCAGCATCATCACCCTCATCATCATCGTCATCACCACTGCAACAAACAGCGGCGCTATCACTGATATCCTCACAGAGCAATCGTCTATGTGATGGCGCTCCAACGCTCCATCCTCATACGAGCACTTTCACAACGAATGGCTCCAGCCCCCCCCATGATCCAGCAGCTGCGCAAGCAGTCTCCGCTCGGAGCCCGACCGGTGGAGTGCCAGGCGCCGGGTTCCTTGATGGCCACCTGGGCGGAGGGGCGAGGAGGATCGGAAGGCAGTGGACGGACGCGCTGGCCTGCTCGTCTGGCGGGTCTGCCCTGGGAGGGGCTGGGCGGCGCCGCCGCGTTGCCGGCGAAGGTACGGCAGACGCATCAGATATGTCGGCGCATTACTCGTCACCTTTGCGGGGCCTCGGCTGCCTGGAGCTTCTGCGGGCCCTCAGGGTCATCAGGGGAGGAAGAGCTTCGGTGGGCACCAGTCGGTTCACCCACTCAGGACGGGGGGACGGGCGGGAGAAGGACGCGGCAAGGAGGCGAGGGAGCCCCCGACCTGTCACTGGCGCCGCGGCTGATCCTGCCGCTGCGCTCTTGTCGGCTCCGATCGGCCTCCCCCTTGCTCCCCGACCTGCCTCCCTCCCGTGCCTCCGCTGCCTCCTACCCGGGCTTGGCTTGCCTTCCCACGCATCCTCAGCTTCCTCTTCTTTTTCCTCCTCCTCCTCCTCTTCCTGCTCCTCCTCCTCCTCCTCCTCCTCCTCCTCCTCCCCCTCCTCCCCCTCAGCCTCCCCCTCCCCTTCGCCCTTCTCCCCCTCCTCCTCCGCCTCCGCCTCGGCAGCATCATCCCTTGCAGGGCGCCAGGCGCCGCGAACCAGAGGCTCTAACCCGTGCGGTAAGGAACTGCTGTTTAGCATGTCGCGGCGGCCTTCGCAGGTGGCATAGCCTTCCCCTGCTTGCCCGGCGTCCGACTCGCATCGTGCGCCTGCGAACCAAAAAGTGTCGCGGCGGCGACCCCTGCGGCGCGCCATGCGCTGCAGAGCTGATAGCCCTACTTCGCGGGGCGGGAGGCTGGGCAAAACGCAGGACGTTAACGCTTGGGAACTGGGCGTGCTTAGGGTGCCACGCCGATTCATGGTGAGCCAGAACCGGCGGCGCGACACGCGAAGCAAACGCCAGGCCACCTGGGGGCCTCCCACGATTGAACGAAGAATATCTTCTCGCACTTCTAGACCCCCTCCCACACATCCCCATCCTCATCCTCAGCAACCTTCTTCGCGTCATTATTGTGGCGGTGCCCTCCTCGCACGTCTCCTGCGCTTTCCCTGCAGCTCGTCCCCCAGATCCACCCCTCTTCCTTCCCTCGCTCTGCTGTTGCTCGTCCTTCTCTTCCTCCATCTCCTCCTCCTCCTCCTCCTCCTCCTCCTCCTCCTCCTCCTCCTCCTCCTCCTCCTCCTCCTCCTCCCCCTTCTCCCACTCCTCCTCCTCCTCCTACTCGCGTTCCCCTCCTCCTCATCCTCCTCATCCTCCAGGGCCGCAGCTCTGGTCTAAGGCCGTGCGCCTGCTTTGAGGCCGCACACCTACATGTTAGGCACCGTACTCTCTTCTATTGCATGGCTGCTAGCAAGCAGCAGAAGATGACCTACAGTATTGTGGCCATCTCTTTCGGTTGCCTGTATGGAGCCAACTCGCGGCTGGAGGATACTGCAGTCGAGGCCCCCAGTTTTGGCTTGCTGGGCAAGGGGGCCAAGGCGCTTACGATTGAGGAGCAATGCATCAAACAAAGTCTGGATAGAAATGCAGTGTCTGCGGGAGGGAAGACAACCAATCCCAGGAACAAGAGCGCAGGCATCCTTCTGTTGCCACACTGATGGACACGATGCATTCGAAATACTGATACGGCACGATCTACACTTCATGACCGCGGATTGGGAGTATACATCAGGCTCCCAGGCAAAAGAATTTATGCGATAACGATAAGCTATCCACCGTAGCTTTTGGTTCGCAAGTTCGCACTGAAGTATCCTTTTTTGGGGGAAAAGCTGAGTTACTGGACGTCGCGGATTGTTGGCTAGGCACATCACTCGGCGTTATGGTTCATGTTGCATGATGAGCAAAACGGAGTGCGTCTCGAAAAGATGGGTGGAAGCTACCATACATGGGCGAGCAGTCCTTTGGCCTGGGCGTGACGCAGGAACGTCATCGAAGGGGAGCAGGACATCGGATGCGTGAGTTCATGGAGGAGCAAGGGCCGTATTCGACTATTTCGCAGGATCGCTTCGCGCATACGTTCTACAACGCTAATGGCAACACCCCAGCATGATGGGTCATGGTTCTTGCCTTTGGCGCTGGCCGAGCAAGTGAAGTATGAGGGCCTTATTTTACGTCTTGGTTCTCGGCTAAAGTACATCTCTGCTGCTGAATCAGCAGCACCCTGTCACCGAGCAGCGCGACGCAGTTGAGCACCATGACACCGAGCAGGATGGCGCAACCCAGCACCGGCAGCCTCACGTCATCGAGTGAGGCGAGCAGTGCAATGACACCTCGAAACTGAGTAGCATCAGCGAACCAAGCACTACGACGTCGAGCAGCGCGACGTTGAGCGTGCGACGAGACGGCACGTCGAGCAGTGCAACGGGACAACACGTTGTCCACCACGACCTCGATAATGCGACGGGACGGCACGCGACGCCTCTGAAGGTGGGGGGCCACCAGGACCCGCCTCGGGTGCCAGGCCGACTACCCTGTAGGCTACAGAGGGGCTCGACCACTTGGATCGTAGCTCAGCCCCTTCCGTCCCTCCCTTCTCCACCCCGCGACCGAGAAGGTACAAGCCTATGATGCCTCTGGAGGAGGGTCCCCACCAGGGCCCAGCCCCAGGCGCCAGGCCGCCTACCAGCAGCACGATGGAGGCAAGCACGATAGCGCTGAGCTGCACGACGGGATCCTTCACCAGCTGCCCCACGTCTGAGAGAGAGAGAGAGAGAAAAACAAAATAACGAACTGTGCTACGCGCACCACGTCTTTGAGCAGCACGTCCAGGACCAAGATTTCAAGGCTAGACGGCACGAAGGCGTCGAACAGCACGAACAAGACCTGCTCCGCGACACCGAGAGGCACGGCGGGACTTCACACCACTAACCTCACACCCACGAGTGGCACGAGCAGTGCGAGCAGCGCGCCGATCACCACGCCTCGTACCAGCATGCCTGAGAGCAGCACCGCGATCACGAGCAGCACGACGGTGTCGGCCCCTCCCTGGCGGCTCCGGCCACGCCACGCCCTGGAGAGAGAGGCCTCCCGGGCTCGTCCAGGCAGACGGCCGTGGGGAGGCCGCCGGCCGCCCGGCGCCGCCCGCGGAGACAGCCTGGCCGGGGCGAGAGGCGGCGGGGCCCCCCGGGGAGTAGCCCTTGCCACCGTCGTGGCCCTTGCCACCGTCGTGGCCCTTGCCCTTGCCACCGTCGCGGCCCTTGCCATCGCTCTGGGGCTGCAGCCCTCTGGCCAGCATGTCCCTGGCCGCCTGCAGCGCGCGCTCCAAGCGCAGACCACCCCCGCAGGCGACGGCCGCGGCCCTGCGGCCCCGCGCCTTTGCGGAGGAGACGGCGGGGCTCCTCGCGGGGCGGCCCCCCTTCGGGGGGCCCGCTGGAGGAGCGGCCGCGGGGCCGGCACGGCGGCGCGACCTCCCACGACGCTGGGGCAGCAGCACGGCGCTCACCACGGCGCGCTCGCGAGAGCCGAGCTTCGCACCACGGGGCGGGGCGTTGGGCCGTGCGACGGCACAGCACGCTGTGCACCACGACGCCGGAGGTGCGCCAGGACGGCACGAGACGCCTCTGGAAATGGGGGGGCCACCAGGACCCCATCTCAGGCCGCCTACCGCGCATGTGAAACAGGGGCTCGACCACATGGCACGTAGCTCAGGCCCTACTGTCCCGCTCACGCCCTCACCACCCGCGAGAGGGCACCAGGCGAGGATGCTTCTGGAGGCGGGTGACCACCAGGACCCCGCCCCAGTCGCCAGGCCGCCTACCAGCAGCACGATGGGACTCGGCATCAACAGCCTCGCACACACGAGTGAGACGACCAGTGCGACGAGAACGTGTCTGAGCAGCACGCCATGGTTCAGCACCCAACGCCGAGCAGAACAACGGCATCTGGCAACCCGGCGTGGCGCATCACGACGGGACCGAGTGCCAGCAGCCCCACATCTACGAGCGAGGCGAGCAGAGCGACTGGGTGCCAAGGAGGCCCCAGTAGGCCCCCAGTAGGCCCCCACGACCCACAGAAGGCTCCCCAAACGACCCCCGAGAGGCTCCAAGAGGCCCCTGCAGAGGCACCCAAGACGCCTCAAGATGTCCACGGGACTGCCACGAGACTCCTAAGACGCCCAAAGGAGATTCTAAGAAACTCCCGGAAGATATCCGAAAAGAGGCCTCCGGCCTTTCTGCTCGCCCTCCTCCTCCTCCTCCTCCTCCTCCTCCTCCTCCTCCCTCCTCCTCCTCCTCCTCCTCCATTCCTTTTCCTTCTGAATAACTCACCCCTGTCGCACCCCGAGGCCAGTCGGAAGGGCGGTCCGGGGCTTTCGCCTGAGACTCCATTGCCATTTGTGATCCTGAAGCTCAGGCGTTGACACAAGTTTCACAAATTGAAGGCGATTCGCTGCCGACATTTCGTTCTCGCATTAGCTTCGCGCACATTCGTCTAACAAGTTGAATAAAGTTTCACGAATGGCGGTTCCTTTTCAAAATGCGGTTGTCGCCTCAACGCTGCGCACATTACTTTAGATATTTGCAGGAGTTTCATGGGCTCCCATGGTCAACGTACCAGACATGGTGCTTTGGAAAAATATCCAGGATTGTCAAGGCGCAACAGTTACATTGATTCGCGGTGTGAAGCACCAGCAATCGCTATCTGGCGCGACTCAGGACCGTCACGACCCGACAGTCAGGTTGATTCGTGGCGTCGGAGTCCCAAGAATGGTGTCTTGGCACGCTTCAGGATCTTCAAACGGATGTCTCCCAACGGGGCACTTCCTAAGTGGAAATGAATCCTAACGGGGCATATGAAGAGGGAGCGTGGAGGGAAGGTTTATTCCAACATCGTCGATGAGTCTTGGTTTTGCACTGGGTTTGCACTGGTCCTCATCATCATCATCATCATCATCATCATCATCATCATCATCATCATCATCATCATCATCATCATCATCATCATCATCATCATCATCATCATCACATCATCATCATCATCATCATCATCATCATCATCATCATCATCATCATCATCATCATCATCATCATCATCATCATCATCATCATCATCATCATCATCATCATCATCATCATCATCATCATCATCATCATCATCATCGTCATCATCATCATCATCATCAGCAGCAGCAGCATCATCAGCATCATCATCATCATCATCATCATCATCATCATCATCATCATCATCATCATAATCATCATAGCCAGCATCATCATCATCATCACCATCACCATCACCATCACCATCACCATCATCATCATCATCATCATCATCATCATCATCATCATCATCATCATCATCATCATCATCATCATCATCATCCACCTGTTCCTCCTCCTTGCTCCTCCCTCCTCCCCATCCCCCTCTCCCTACTTCACCTTGTCCTCCTGCTCCTCCTCCTCCTCCTCCGACTCCTCCTCCGTCCCACCCCTCTTGGGGTACGACGTCTGACCCAGCCCGTTATTCCACTGCATTCCCCTCCACATCCATGACCAAGGCAACTCGTCTGGGCATCGTTTCTGAATGGGCTGGTGGGGTTACTGGGAACGGCTCTAGTTTTCCATTAGAAAAGAAATTGTAAGTGGTGCAATCTACGCAATGCAATATTTGATGTGAGCTAGTACGCCAGGTGGTGCAATCTACGTGGTGTGAGCTATGATGTGTAAGCTATGCGGTGTCGGACGTTTGTTGGTGAGATCGAAGTGGAATGGAGAGCCGCCCACCTGGAAATCGGTTTTGGTTTCGGGTTCGTGTCGAGCGTGCGGGCAAGGCGAACCTGCGTGGGCGGGCGAGAGGAATGGCTCCGCTGTGGCTGGGGCGGGGTCAAGACAAAAGACTGCCCCTCGTTGTGTCCGGTCGGTGTACCGTCGGTGGCCCGTCGGTGTCCCGTCGGTGTCCCGTCGGTGCCCCGTCGGTGTCCCGTCGGTGTCCTGTCGGTGTCCCGTCGCTGTCCCATGGTGTCGCGTCGGTGTCCCGTCGGTATCCCGTCGGTGTCCCGTCGGCGTCTTGTCGGCGTTTCGCCGTCGGTGTCCAATCGGTGTCCCGTCGGTGTCCCGTCGGTGTCCTGGTGGGTGTCCCGATCGGTGTCCCGTGGGTGTCCCGATTTGATTCCGGTTGATGCCCTGATGGTGCCCCGGTGGTGTTTCGATGGTGTCTCGATGGTGTCCCAGTGGTGTCCCGATAGGTGCCCCGATTATTGTTCCAACGGTGTTCTGGTGGTGTCCTGGTATTGTAGCGGTTGGCGTTTCGATTGATGTCCCGATTGTGCACTGGTGGTGTCCTGATGGTGCCCCGATGTGCCCCCGACAGTGCCCCGATGGTGTCCCGACGGTATGGCGATGCCCCGATGGTGCCCCGATCG